ATCAGTGGTATGCGATGATCGAACTCCTGGTGTGGGGGTAGTCCCTTAGGTTCGCCCAGTACTCCCTCAAATTCCTGGAGAAGCTCGTGCACATCTCCCTGTTGTTGCTCCTCTTGGTCTATGTGCGCCTCAGTTTTCTCCACCACTACTGCAAATATTTGGCCTCCACCCCACCAAACTTTCTCAATGCTCTTAAGCCCTACCTCCTTGGTACCTTTTTCATTGCCAGTACTCAGAGTGACTTGCTGACCTCCGGAGTTGAACTCCATAATTCCTGTCCGATAGTCGGTGGTCACCTTGCCTAACCCTTCAAGCCATTGTACACCTAGGACGACATCCGGCCCAACCAGCGGTAAGGCATAGAGATCAGCCTTCACTGTATCTCCGCTGAACCTGATTGGCACCTTCCGGAAGGATCTAGTGCACTGCAGCCTCTCACCATTGGCTACTCGTACCTCAAAAGGTTCAATATTCGTGGTTGGTAAGTTCAGCTTCTGGGACAAATCTGCATTGATAAAGTTGTGTGATGACCCGTTGTCCACTAGCACCACCACCTTCCGATCCTTGACCCAGGCCGGCAATCGCATCGTTCGAGGCCCCCTAATCCTGGCCATTGCGTGCATCGAGATTTCTGCTTCTTCGTCAGGCCCCTCAACTACAATATCCTGATGTAGTTCCTCCTCGTCCTCAGATCCTTCCTCATCAGGATTAGCAACTTCGATCACAAAGGCTTGCTTACACTGATGACCTGGTGTAAACTTCTCCTCACACTTGAAACATAAGCCTTTCTCACGTCGACGTTTAACTTCTTCGGGGGACAGTCGTCTCACTATCGACCCTGCTGGCCAATTGCTGACGTTCGGCCGTGCGCTGACCGTGGCTTGGTTCGGTCCCATGCGTCGCGAGTCCGCGAATCGCACATCCGCCCGTCCCCTTCGCGTAGCGACCAGATGGTCTTCTCGTCGACGGGCCACTTCCATGGCGTTATGTATCATGCTCGGTCGCCCCAGTCGGACTTCTGCGGCTAGATCGATTCTCAGCCCACCTACGAAGGCTCCTACTAGCGCATCCTCAGACCAATCTCGCATGCGACAGGCTAGTCGTTCAAACTCAATGTACTCACGCAAACTGCCTGTCTGTCGGAATCGCGCGAGGGCCTATAATTATGGTAATTGGACGTGCCAAATCGTGTGAGCAATTCTCTCTCGAAGTCAGCCCATGTAATAACCTGTTGCCATCTACGGTAGATCCTTGAGAGCCACTGCTACCATACGTTGGCCTCTCCGTCCAAATAGAATGCTGCGTACCTCATTCGATCGTGGCCTTAGGTTTCACTCAGTTCGAAATATTGCGCAATTTGGTTGAGCCACGCCTCGGGATCACTACCTAAGAAGATGGACATCACGAAT